AGTTTGACTCCTGCAAATGACTTGAAAAAAGGAATTGATCAACATAAGCGCATCAGAATATCAATTTCCTTATCAATTGAATTGTTAAACTTTCAAATTATTTACAGTTTTAGCACAAAACAAAGCTGGCACTAACAAACCAGCAGAGTAAGCTAGACAAACTCGTGTTCACTTACAGCAGTTCCAGGTTGACCAAGTTGTTAAACAATCCCTCAGGTAAAAAGGTGAGTTTGTTATTCCCCAGTCGCCTGTAAAAACATCGACTTATCAAAGTAAGCTTTTTAATTACTTAATCTATTCAAATTTGCTTTGAGTCAATTTTTTAAGGTTAGTTAGCGCTCTGAAAAACTATCTGCACCGATAGTTTTTTCAAACCCTTTCTATTGGTTCTTTTCTATTTTATGATGTAAAGTTTTAAACTGAAAAAGTGGAGTCTTCGAGCTCGCTATATAGCAGCAGCTCTTTGTAGATGCTTATACAATTCCTATGATTTCAGGACAATTACATTTTGAGTATGTGCTAAATAAGCATTGCAAAAAGCTGTTAATTTTCCTACATTCACTATCGGCTTGGCTGTGTCCAGCAACGACTGAGTGTGAATTCGTCGCTATAGGCTATTTTTGTTAAGGATGGTCGCAATGTCTTTGGTGCTTACACTTGATTTCTCGATCAACGTTCGATTTCTTTATATATTGCGTCTTTTTACGGCTTCGTCGAGTCAAAACACTCTGCAGTTAGCAACCAGTTCCTAAAGTAACACTAAATTTTGTTTTCCTTGAATTCTAATGTGACCACACTAGTTACGCATGAAATTATGCACTCGTGTGAATTTACGGAATGACTTTTTAAAGGATATTTATTATACTAGAAAAAGAATAATGATCTAGAAAAAAAAAAAAAAAAAAAAGGCCGGATAGTATTGATGATCATTACCTTAATGTTTAATCAAAGCTTCTTTTCTATTTCATGATATTAAGTTTTAAATTGAAAAAGGGAGTCTTTGAGTTCGTTATATAGCAGCAGCTTTTTGTAGATGCTTAGATAGTTCTTATAATTTCAGGATAATTACGTTTTGAGTATTTGCTGAATAAGCATTTCTATTAGTGCACCTTACGCATGTGCAATGCAAAATTACCGTATGACTTAATAAAGGATATCAATTAGATCAGAAAAAGAATAATGATAAAAAAAAAAACAAAAAAAACAAAAAAAAAACGATGGCTAGATAGTATTGATGATCACTACTTTTATGTTCAATCAAAGCTGAGTGCTTTAAATAAAACAAAAGGCGAGAATTGGCGTTAGTAAATGGATTGATTATCACTAACACTAAAGTTTGAATCTAAATGACTGGAGAAAAGGAGTTGATCAACCTAAGCGCATCAGAATATCAGGTTCCTTATTAGTTGAGTTGGTAAACTTTCGAATTATTTGTAGTTTTAGCACAAAACAAAGCTAGCACTAACAAACCAGCAGAGTAAGCTTGAAAAAAATCGTGTTCACTCACAGCTGTATCAGGTTGACCAAGTTGTCTAACAATCCCTCAGGTAAAAATGTAATTTTGTTATTCTCCAGTCGCCTGTGAAAACATCGACTTATCAAAGTAGGCTATTTTATTACTTAATCTTTTCAAGTTTGACTTGAGTCAATTTTCTAAGGTTAGTTAGTTCTCTGAAAAAGTTTTTGCACAGATGTTTTTTTTCAAACCCAACATTTTGGGTTTTTTCTTAAAACATGGTTAGGTTTTAAAATGGAAAAAGGGAGTCCACGAGCTTGTTACAGAGCATCTGTTCAGTTCTTTGTAAATACTGATATAGTTCCTATAATTTCAGGATGTTATATTTTGAGTAGGTGCTGAATAAGCATTCCTAAAAGTTGTTCATTTTCCTACATTGACAATCGGTTTGGCCGTATCCAGCAACAACTGGGTGTGAACTCGTTACTATAAGCTATTTTTCTGGAGGATGGTCGCAATAATTTTGGCGCTTACACTCAATTTCTCGATCACCATTCGATTTTTTTATATATTGCGCCTTCTTATGGCTTTGTTGTGTCATAACACACAAATAGTAACCAGTCCCTCAAGAAACACTCCATTTTGTTTCCCTTGAATTTTAGTAGATAAGATAAGAAAAGGCAGATAAAATCGTTTCTAATAAGAAAAGAATAAAAGCCGTCAATTTTCATTTATAATGTGCCCACACTAGTTGCGTATGAAATTGTGCACCATACTCTTATGTAATGCAAAATCATGGAATGACTTTCTAAAGGAAATCAATCATACCAGAAAAAGAATAATGATAAAAAAAAGGAAAACAGAAATAATGGCCGGATAGTATTGATGATCACTACTAGCTGAGTGCTTTAAATGAAACAAAAAGCAAATATCGGCGTTAGTAAATGAACATATTACCACTAATTGTAAAGTTTGGGTCCAAATTACTGGAAAAAAGGAATTGATCAAGATAAGTGCATCAGAATATTAGTTTCCTTTTCAGTTCAACTGCTAAACTTTCAAATCATTTACAGATTTAACACAAAACAAAGCTAGCACTAACAAACCAGAAGAGTAAGCTGGACAAACTCGTGTTCACTCACAGCCATTCCAGGTTAACCAAGTTGTCAAACAATCCCTCAGGTAAAACAGTGATGTTGTTATTCGGCAGTTCCCTGTGAAAACATTAGCTTATCAAAGTAGGCTTTTTTATTACTTAGTCTATTCAGATATGCCCTGAGTCAAGTTTTAAAGGTTAGTTAGCCCTCTGAAAAGGTACCTGCGCGGAGATATTTTTCAAACGCTACCTGTTGGTTTTTTGTATTTTATGACAACTTAAAGTTTTTAATTGAAAAAGGGGAGTCCCAGAGCTCGTTATAGAGCAGCAGTTCCTTGTGAATACTGATATAGTCCATATAACTTCAGAACAATTGTATTTTAAGTATTTCCTGAATAAGCACTTCCAGAAATTGTTCTTTTTCCCACATTGACAATCGGCTTGGCCGTATCCATCAACGCCTGGGTGTGAATTCGTCGCTATAGGCTATTTTTCTGGGGGATGGTCGTTAATAACTTTGGCGTTTACACCTCATTTCTCGATTACCATTCGATTTCTCTATATATTGCGTCTTCTTATGGCTTTGTTGTGTCATAACACACTGCAGTTAGAAACCAGTCCCTCAAGACACTCCATTTTGTTTCCCTCCAATTTCAATAGAGACGATAAGAGAAGGGAGAGAAAATCGTTTCTAATACGAAAAGATTCAAAGCTGCCATTTTTAAATTATAATGTGACCACACTAGTTACGCATGAAATTATGCACCTTACGCAGGTACAATGTAAATTTATGGAATTACTTTGTAAAGAACATCAATTATATCTGAAAAGAATAATGATAAAAAACAACAACAGAAACGACGGCTGGACAGTATTGATTATCAGTACTATTATGTTTACTCAAAAATCATTGCTTTAAATAAAATAAAAAAGCGAAGGTTGGCTTTAGTAAAAGGACTAATTATCATTAATTGTAAGGTTTGAGTCCAAATGACTGGAGAAAAGGAATTGATCAACATAAGCGCATCAGAATATCAATTTCCTCATCAGTTGAATTGTTAAACTTTTTCAAACTATTTAGTTTTAGCAGAAAACAAAGCTGGCACTAACCAACCAGCAGAGTAATCTAGACAAACTCGTGTTCACTCACAGTTGTATCAAGTTGACCAAGTTGTCAAACAATCCCTCAGGTAAAACGGTGATGTTTTCATTCTGCAGTTTCCTGTAAAAACATCGACTTATCAAAGTAGGCTTTTTAATCACTTAATCTATTCAAATTTGCTCTGAGTCAATTTTTTAAGGTTAATTAGTGCTCTGAAAAAGTACCTGCGCCGAGATTTTTTCAAACCCTCCCTACCGGTTTTTTGTATTCCACGCCAACTTTAAATTTTGAATTAAAAAACAGGGAGTCTCCGAGCTCGCTAGAGAGCAGCAGTTCTTTGTGTTCATTTTTTTTCCTTTTTAAGGTTGGTTGTTTTCCTGAAAAAGTACCTGCAGTGATATTTATTAGGAATCAATCATCTTATCAATACAAAAACACTGTTAATTGTTAGTCTAGTCTATAGTGAGTCTAATCTTAAACAATGCAGTTTGAGTAAAGTTCATATGCCAATATGTGTGCAAGTGGCCCGAACATTAGTGCGTTCTTAATCAGAGCTAAACTTTGCCCTAAAATGCTTTTTGCCTTGCTTTCAGTCTCTTACAGTTTTTCCGTCAACGGGGAAAGGCACTTCTTAAGCTGCGTTACTGTCACCTGTTTGCAGAAGAGTTTATTTCCCTCCGAACCGAGGAAAATAAACTGTTCACAATCTAAAATAAAGCCGGGAAAGGAAAAAAAAGCAAAACTGATCAAATTAAGTCCCCAGATAGATTACAATAGTTAAAAACATCACCGTCATGAGGGAGAGAACAAAGCGTTGTCAAGTTTAATCTGAGTGTAGAGGAAAATAAGTTAAGTTGATTTTGCAAGCCACAAATATTGCCATTGATGCAATTTAATTATAATAACCGAGATCGTACGACCGCCTTGGTTGGGTGTTTACAGTAAACCCATAGAAAATTTGAGTAATACTGAATTCCAGGCAGCACATGAAAAAAAATATTTTTATCGATCTATCAAAGAATTCGTGCCTCGAAATAAATGAAACATTTGAGTCATGTGTTCATTAAGCAATAGGCCGCACTTTCTATCAGTTTACTACTCTGGGTCCAGTCGTTCGAAGTATTAGCACTAACGTAGGGTTAAATTTTAATCCAGGTTCCTTTCTTTCTCTGTTCAATAGCCCTTTCAAGGAAATTTTCTCCATTCATTTTAGAAATTCCAATCATCAAATTGTACACAAAAGAATTTAAATTGAATTTTCTGTTGAAGCTTTCAGATCTGATATCAAATGTCACACAAACATTGGGTCACCTTAACCTAGCTTTGAACAACCTAGCCCTGATGCTTTATAATCTTAAGTTAGATGAAATTTCTTCACCTTTAAAAATCACAGAAAACTCCTTCACATCATATCCATACTTGTTAATCGCTACAGAGGTGAAATTTGACTCATCGTAGAACTGAAATGCTGCAGTATCTGTTGTGTTTACCAACACGGTGGAGTTTCTTATTATTGCTGTGTATATCGGTGGAGTTCCAGTCACTGGAATTTTTACTCTGTAACCTGGGAGAGCTTCCACAACGGCTGATAAGGATATTTTGGGTGGGACTAAAGAAAAGGTACATTAAAAAAAGGAAATTAAAAATAGTTACAGGTCAGACTAAGTTAGTATTACATGAATTTCTCCGGATCTATTACATACTAAAATACATACAAAAAATTAAGCTTGCCTATTGCAGGACACGTCTATTTATCTTATACATTGCTAAAAGTTGAAATTGAAAGCAGAAAGCTCAAATTACATTGATCGGTAAGAAAGTCGCGGAAGCACAAAAAAGAAATAGCTGACAGGTTAGGGGAACGTCAAAACGCTTCTGTTCAGAACAAAAACTTCCAACAAAGCACAAACAACTGGCTAAACGTCAGTAAGTCTTAGGCTCCCAAAAACGGCTATGGTAAACATTTTTAAAAAGTAAGAGCTGGAGGCTTTGAACATAATTTCGTCGGATCGATTTTTACGACAGGTATTAAATCATTGGCGTGATAGCCCTCGCGTAAAGCAAATTCTAACTGAAAAAGATCGGAAACACTCAATAATTCCTGGCAGAAAGTTGAAAAGCTCGAAACTCCCACTAGCGGGAACTCAGGCAACAACAAAAAGGTAAGCGGTCGCACCAGTGAACAATACACATGGCTAAGGGGAAACAAAAGTCAAAGTACTGCATGTATATTATCAACAAGTTATCAAATGACTTCACCTCGTGCCTTGAATTTGGGATAAATCGGCGCTCGTAAAGTTTTCAGAGACTACAAGTGCACTCGCCAAAATGGCTTATGCAATTTGGATTAGCCTTCAAAAAATTTACTCTTTCTGATTTTTTTTCCAAATTGCACTCGAAATCATATGTTTCCTTTAAGGAATTACCCCCATGCAGAAGTTAATTAATGCCGCTGACAGAAAAAATATTTCAGGCGTATAGCTGTCTTGTGTCTTACTTTTTGAGATAACATCACACTGTCATCACTACATTAAGCATTTTCAGAGTTTTCCATCCTAATAACTGTACATACCATCAAAACCCGTTTTGAAACGGAAGAAGAATCCTCTTTTTTTCACCCTTGAGTTTGAACGGAATGTTATCAAGGCGTAGTTTCCATCAACTACAACTGTTTGTCCAGTCCTCGGACCACAGTATTTACCAAAGCTATAGTTCCGATCATTAGCAATCTTCACAAAGTCATATCTATAATGAAGAGAAATATTTATCTCAGAATTTTTCACTGAAAAAACATGTTATCCTTGATCGGGTTTGCTCTACCATTTTGATAATTACCTTTCAACAAAAGTAGAGCAAAGAATAAAGTACAAACCACAAGGCACTGCCAACTGCAAGGATTATGCTGACCATTTTGGCTATTCTTTCGAATATAAGAAAAGTAACGGAAATTACGGAGACTTTTTTCGTTTGATGATACGAAAGTTTGAAAATATATTCTCAAAGAAACTACCGTTCGTAACAATTTTAGTAGTCTCCTCTCGCAGCCGTTCTTTGTCTCGGGATCCCTTTGTCTCCCTCCCCACAAACGGCTGCTCGTGTTGACTAAACATTCCATTCCAGCCGATTGACCAATCAGAGTGCCGCCTTTCGAAATCTGGAAAGCTCATAATATATTCACCTCGCTAGTGCGTGTGAACATGTGGCTGTTTCTCAGCGATTATCGGACTGACGGGTCGAGCAGGTAGCAGTATTAGCTGATGGACTAGAAGGTTTAGGCGTACAAGGCAGAGATACTAGCGGTTCAACTGTAGGACTTGGAGGCAAAGAAGTACATTTGCTAGGGCCGGTGAAATCGAGAGCTTTCGCTACAAAAGGTCGCTTTGCGTTCGAGTCGCTGTCAAGTGATTGTTGAAGTCCTTTAATCCGGTGATCTTGGATGGAATCATAGCCAGCTTTCAGTTAATTTCTTAGCTCTTGGAGATCGTTTTCTAATTTCTTAATCTTGGCAACTTTTCTGTAGCATTTGAGACGTATATATATATATATAAAGTAGAATTCAAATAAATGTCGAAAGCTTCCAAGTTTATACCCAGTGCTAAAATTATGACGCTTGCTACATCAGCCGATCTTCCGAAGATTCTAACTCTTTCTTTAGTCGAAACTGTTGACGTACACAGGAAACATCCAGATAAATTACTGCAAGTTACTTTCTTCGGGGTATCACCAATAAAAATTGATAAATGACATATTTAGCTATACAAACATGAAATTTGGCGAAGTTTTGAGAGATGTTCTCCGGTAAACTCGCGTGCAGCTTTTCGCTTCTTGATTGGCGGGTCCCGAACAACTGCTCAACGCTTATTGGTTAAAGGAAACAAAGGGAATAGAATGTTTGGTCAACACGAGCAGCCGTATGTGGGGAGGGAGACACAGGGATCCCAAGACAAAGAACGGCTGCGAGAGGAGACTACATTTTTAGACGACTGCTGTAAATTTCGCCTCAGCTCCCTCACCTGCCTCAGTTTGGATTTATCATTAAGCTAACTTTGCAAGACTAGCATGCAAAACATAACTGCTGACAGAGAGCGGACTGTCTACAATGAAAAACGTTAATTTGCGGGAGAGGAATTTCTCACCTGCATGATGGGGGACCCACATCAAAGTCAACGAAAGATATTACCATTAGCCTGCTATGTGGAATAGGAACAGAGTATTTACAATACATATCAGCTGGATAGTTGAATGGATATCCCGGACTTTTCAATGTGTTATTTACCAAAACGCCACATTCTGAAGAAACAATAGTATCAGTACATTATTCTTATTATATATGTTACTGAAAGGCTGCTTTAAACGCTTTGATTCAGAACAAAAACTTCCAAGAAAGTACAAACAACTGGCTAAACGTCGGTAAGTCTTAGGCTCCCAAAAAAGGTTATGGCAAACATTTTTGTGAAAAGTAAGAGCTGGAGGCATTGAACAAAATTTCGTCGGATTTTTACGACAGGTATTAAATCATTGGCGTGATAGCCCTCGTGTAGAGCAAATTTTAACTGAGAAAGATCGGAAACACTCAATAATTCCTGGCAGAAGGTTTAAAATCTCGAAGCTTCTGCTTGCAGGAACCCAGGCAACAATAAGAAGGTCAGTCACTTTTATCATGAGCCCCTAGCCCGAGAGATCTGGGCGACCACTCCCCGTGTACTTGACATAAAATAAATGATCTTATCCTATCCTAAGCGGTCGCGCCAGTGAACAATACGCACGGCTAAGGGGGAAACAAAAGTCTAAGTATTGCATATATTATTATTAACAAGTAATCAAATGATTTCATCAAGTGCAATTTACTTTTTTAA